CCATTAAAAAGATACTAGCATTTTAATAGCTTTACAAATGAAGTTTGTAATTTTCTGGCAATGTAGAGTATATCTATATACTCTACATCATCTCTATTCTGTGTTAAGTCCCTGCACTCTAAAACGATAAGATAATGTAATTAGCGCGTGTCGACTGTGAACTCGACGCGGACACTAAATTGCAGCAATCGACAGTGAAACAACATCTGGCCGTCTATTCTCGCGATTGACTCATCGATGCTTTATCAGCAATTCGAATTCCCATACTACCTGCACGAGCGTCATTATAGCGAGTGAAAAAAGATTCTCACCGGCGGCTCATTAAAATATAGGGGCGGGCGCGCGATGCGCATCTGCCTACCTTCATGCGCAATTACGAGCGAAACTGGCATTGTGTGCCGATGCGATGCATCGACATCGACTCGTCCCGCGGTACCCACGAAGAGACGATTCTGCGTTTGTCGCCTTCATTCTCCCTTTTTCCCTTTTCTTTCCCTTTAACTATCTCTATCCCTCATGGAGTTTTATTCATTGTGGCATCGCGCCGATATATTCCTGTAAGAGGTTCGCACGCGACATTCAATCCATGCCTACATATATGCTTCGGAGTAGTCTTGCGACTGCTGACCCTCGTGTCAATGTGGTTCGCATATTTACCGATTATATCGCCTATATTACCATATACTTTGTAATCTTAAAAATCAAATTTTACGATGCACGAAAGGAATGCACAGAGAGACGATTCAAATTAATTCTTCTATCTTTAGAAGGCATAAGTCTTCTCTACAGTAGAGAAGAAAGAATTTGAAAACTCATTTCGTGAACTGCGCAAGTAAGTGGTAAAAGCTAATTAATCGTACATCACACATATTTCTTTCGAAAAACCCTCCAAGATGTCGTAATCTCTCTCCTTGAAATTAAATATTGTTACAATATTTATGAGTAGCGGACGAAAGTGCCATGAGCTTTTAGCTGTCGTATCGCGTAACGACTTCGTTGAAAGCGATGTGCGAGTGCTCTTACCCTGTTGAAGGAGGTCCTGAGACAAGACAATTTCGAAATAGCACGCTTTACTAAGAAAGAGTCCTCCGGTAACGTGCGACCGGGATATTAACGTATTATACGAGATAATTCGGTGGCAGTAATACGTCACTTCCGGCAGGCAATAATAAAGTCCGCCTTCTTCTGTAAGGTTGATGCTTTTCGAGTAACCTGGGCGCACTCTTTAATCGAATATTTAGATAAAGATTCGCGGACGCGAGCGCGCTATGGGAGTGCCACATCCGGTGTAATAAACCGTATCATTATATGCAGATTGTGGCATAAAAATTCATTCGACTCGTGCCGACACGAATGCGACGTTCGAAATTACAACCAAGGAATGCTTGCATCTATCAAATCGATATAACGAATTAATTCTATACTGTGACGAAATATAAATAAAATAATTAGAATTGCAATACATTATAAAGCTAATTTTTCAATTGAGATAAAGAACAAAGTCTCTATTTTTGAAACTCTTACCTTAGTTTCAAGACGAAATTCTGATTTAATAAAAAGAAATTAATATTACAATCTATGATTGTCAGGTTAATTTATTGTATTGATTTGTTTATCCTCAATTGTTATTCACGGACAAAGAGCGATCTTAAATGTGAGACTTAATTAAAAAGGATGCTTCGTGCAATCGCGAAAAAACTTTGAAAGAACCAAACCGGGATAAAAAGTTTTCCCACGTACTTCACGGTCTTCCTGCGACGATGTCGATGAGCGTCGAGGAGTCACCAGGTGACACCCGGATAACGAAAACACCTTAGTCGATGGGCTCGACGAAAGTGAATCCGCGCTCGTATACTATGACCTACTTGCGCGGAGAGAGGGCAAGTAGAGAAAAAAAATCACTGGCAGTGAACAGATAGGAACTCCTTGCCGAACCGTGGGAGAGTCCTTCGGGACGATCAGGCATTGAACTTTCTTCTTCCGGCCTTTTATCTCTCTGAAGCCACAAATTCTGCGATCGCGCGCGTCACAAAAAAGCGCCGAGGGAGAGATTCGTGTTCTTTATTATAGCGCCTCCTTCAGAATCCAACGCAACGGTTTATACATATATGTGTATATATATATATACAACATACGATAACTTTGTATCACGTTGGAATAATGAATTCGATTATCCTTAATGTCGGAAGTCGGCCAGTTGGATATTTTATCCAGCCTCGTTTGTCGTCAAAAAACCAACGCACGAATATCGGATTACATTTGTGAATCGCGAAGAAAAAAATTATTCAATGTTTGATACAAGGGATACCCTTCGTTTGCCAAATGCGTATACCCATTATCGAACATCCTATATAATTATCGCGTTATTGCGTGTGATTTGTCAGAATTGGCAACGTTATGTTCACTTGATTAGCGAGCAGTTTTAGGGTTATGCAAACACGTTCCCCCGTCGCATTCTTGCGAATAATTTATGACGGGGTATTAGGGCGCCGTGAAAGTCACCCGAAAATCTTCACGGTCGATGCAGTAACAGATGCGTTTCCATTAAAAGCAATGTGCCGCGTTACATCACGCAGGTAAAAAAAACAATCATCCTCCCGTTTTTTTATATTTCAATATAAATCTTCCTCACGCGAAAAATCTTAACATCTTGACACAATGGTTCTTTCCAAAAAAAGCTCTGCATTCTGTCTATGCGCGTCTGGCTAAAGATAGGAAGAAGTTTCGAAGAATTTTGTTGTTTTTACGATATGTAAACAGAAACCAAATGGGCGGATAGTAGTGTCATAAAACGATTCTAGTTCCCACGGATGATACCGTTACAAGGACTCGAAATCCTTGAAGAAAACAAGAAGTTAGAGAAAGCTACTTTTATGATGACACAAGAATATTGAAAATCCTCTAAAACGTCGAAAAAGTGACAATGGTTTAAGAAAGGAACAATGCATCAGAAAAATGTCAATTTCTTTAAAGTATATTTATTAAGTCAAAGTGTGTGTATATATAAGAAGAAGAAAAAAATCGCACACACTCTATGTTTATATGAGGATTTTAACAAATGTTTGTATTTGCAATGAAAAATAATTCCGAACCGACGTGAGAGAGAAAATATAATTTATAACATTCATTTTATAAATATACATATATATATATATATAATTTTATATACTTAATGTTTATATAAGTATATAAAATATTCATATAAATATAAGATATGTGTACTTCTATATTCTTGTTTTATTTTTTTATGTATTAATTCATAGAGTTTCAAAATCTTGAAATTGTAACGTGCACTTTTAGTTATGAGGAGAGAAAACAATTTTAATGCAATAAGTTTGTAATGCATTGTCCTATCATTTTAATTTTTGTATTTGCATTTTTAATTTTGAATCATCGTCTGAATCATTAATTTCAATTTTCAATTTTTTTTACATATCATCGTGCGGTATAGTTTAAAAATCATGTCAATTAAGAGGATTGAGCAATTAAGACGATCTTAAACTGTTGATGCAATTGATGTTTTAGGAATATTGTGCGTTCTCTGTCTAACTTAACGATTGTTGACTCATATTTTTGATTTATCATGTTAATTTAAGTGGATGGCCTATAGCCACGTTAAAATATGTTTTCCGTAATCTAACATTACAATTATGACGGACACATCCTCGCAAAGAAAGAGAGATATTCCCCTTTCCTTCGATGCTTATCGTTTCTTGTATGCGCGCGTAGTTAAGCACTATATGGCCGTCTTTTTGTTCCGCCGAGGAAATGGCGAATATAGGGGAAAGGCGGCGAGGTCATTTATTACATTACCTGCGGAAGTCTGGGCTATTGCGCTGAAGCCTCTTGTCTTTTTAGAGAGAAGGGGATATCGCGAAGGAGGAAGCTACGTATCCAGGAATGACAGCTCACGAGTCATTAGATTGCCTTCGATGAACAGGATCAAAGTTCTTGCAAAAATGAATAGTTATTAGGATTAATTAAATTTTTTCTCATTTTTAATATTTATATGATTTTAAAGGCACATAAGAGAGAATAGAAAGAAACATTAAAATTCTACACAAAATAATTATTTTTTAGACAAAAATATATTTAAGATTGTTAAAAACATATTTATAATAAATGAAAAAATTTTTCAGATATTTAGAATTATTAAAGAATATCTACAAATATTGAAAGACCTTCTCCTACATTAAAGACGCCATTATATATGATAAGAAAATGAAACCATTATTAAAAACTTATCTGCACAGGCGGAAGTACGTTTCGTGGACATATTTCTGAATTTCCTTCCCATAATCTACAAATACGAATGTATTTTCGGTCGAAGAAAGGGTCACACAAGACAGCCCCTGTGTCTTGCATTTGATCTCTGACGACTTCCTCGCCTCCACCCTGCGGTTATCGTACTCATGACCCGATACACCACTAATTTCATGATTATCCCCGCAGGAAACACGACGACACCGGAAGCACATGTTGCGCGACGTCAGTTGGTTTAAAGAGAAACAAAAAAATATGCGGTTCATATAGATCTTTCGTTATTTCCTACATATCGACTACACATTGACTAGAAAAATATGCGAAAATAATCAAGTGCATAATGTATTTTAGTATTCCCAAAATCATATTCCCAAGAATTTGAAATATTTGACATAAAAATAATTACAAATATGATGGGTAGCAATTTAAAAAAAATACATTTTTTAGAATTTAGAGAAAGAATTTTTTACACACACACACACACACACACACACACACACACACATATATATATATAACTTTGAGAATAATATATGTATCAGATTTATTCAAATTTGATGAGACATAATATGTAAAACTTGTAATATAAAACTAAAAATTCCCCAAGATAGCTGTTGGTTCTAGCTAATAATAGCTAATTATGCGCATATGCGAGAGATACGCAGTCCTTTTTGTGTCAAGTCTACAAACTAACGATTCACGTTGCATTTTGACGTTGTAGCGTTTTCTCTGATAATTATGCGAGCGGTGAACAACGTTTGCGATCGCCTAGTCAGAAGTGGAATCGTTCAAAGTTGCTTGTGGACTTCCTGCGCCATGTGCCTGTGTCTACCATGGCGCTCGTCTACACGCGTATATTTTATTTGCAGAGGAAGTGAAGATTTCTGTGAATACATCTGTTTGCCATGCAGGAGCATATCCTAGGCTTGGCATTCTTATTCTTCTGTTCGCGGGTCGATGACGCCTGCTCGATGGAAGTTGCAACATTCTTTCTCGTAAAAATCTTTATTTTCTTCTCGATATATAATGCACCCGAGGTTTAAATGACTGTCAATTTAGACTAGCGTCGTCTATTCAATAATTCAAGTAGTGCTAATAAGAGTTGGAGCAAAAATTCGAACCAAAGATTTATCAATTGATAATTTCATCAAAATAATTGTGTTACCTATCAAAGAGAGAAGGATTTCATGGGTTTATATATAATTTATATGCATACCAATATTACATTAAAATTATTTGACAAATTACTAATTGCGTAAGATAAAGTAAACAGAAAGTTCAATATATAATAATACATCTATAACACACTTTTTTAAAAATTTGAAAAAATTAATTCAAATTAATTCTTTTTCTCTCTTGCAGCTTCAGAATTAATTTTCCCAGCTCTTAAAGAATCGAATCTGACTACTTTTGAATTTTACAAGAAGAAATGAGCGTAAATGATCTATCGCAAATTAACTCGTTTGTACTTAATCAGAGAAAATTGGAAAAATATCTTATGTGCCATAATGTAATATATATATATATATATATATAATATATATATGTAATAATACTATAAGTTTGTTGCAGAGATAGTGTCGCAAAATATCTGGCAAGTGGCCAGATACTTTCAGTAGCGAACAAGAGGAGCACGCTTTACAATGGCTTTATGACTCGCTCGCGTAATATTCGGCTCAGAAACTTGGAGAAGGACATAATACTGATTATATGCGCCAGGGCGTAAAGCGTAAGTTACAATTTAACGAGCAGTAAAGTTTTGTGGTGCACCACATCCTGCTCACCGGGGATCACTGTACGCTAGCGTTCAAACGGCTCCGCAAGATTTTAAATTGCAGCGAATGCTTATAATACGCAGCAATATTCGACTCGCACGCGGGCTGAAACATCTCTCGAGATGTAAGATTTTACTTTTTTGTCAATGACTATTCTCGAACTATCGCATGATCAGTCAAGAAGTTAATTATGCCTGCAATATTCAATTGCAAAGTAATATTAATTTTATCATTGGAATATGTAAGATATTATAGCTTATTCAATTATCTGTTAAAGGATGCCATAATCAATTCTGCAGTGAAACTGCCGCGCTTTATTGAAACAGCCTGAGAGCAACATTAATTCCCCAGAGAATATTGATGATATGTTGCTCGTAAAACCGCGGATAACTCTGTAAAAGCTTGTAATTGCCACTATATAAAATTTAAATTAAATCGCCGTTTATAGACTGAAAATAAAATTGAATTACTCAAACGTTGATTCAGGATTCAGGGTTGTTGCCGTAAAAGTAACAAGTTAATCAATCGTTACCATTCATGCCGATATCATCATCGATTCGATGGATATTTTGTCTGATGATCGGTGAATATAATGCATAACGAGGGACAGGAAACAATTTAGGCCAGACTCTCTGGCTCTTAGCGATAACTATTTTAAATTGAAAAGTCATTTGTCGGCATCGGCGACATATGAAAACCATTACGAAGTAAGACTCAGACTGTTCCCCTGAGTACGCTTATATGCTCACGACAGTGTTCGCGCCGATACAATGCCACATGTCGAGTCGCGATACGAGCGAAAGCGAATTTACTCTAAGTGATAACTCCGCCCTTTTTGAGTCAACGACGAGTTTCAATAATCATCGAAGTAAAACGTCAATTTATCGCGCATTCTCGCGGCCTTTTATAATTAAACTATAAATAAAATATATAAAATATAACTTTTCTCGCACATTAATACAGTCTTATGAAAGATATTAAAAATTATAATTGTCATATATATAATTATTTAATCATAGTTATAAATTTATAACAAATAGATAAATTATTTTTTTATAGATATTATAAACTATTATAAAGATTTTTATTATAAAAAAAATTTATTTATATTAAGTTTATATATATACATATAAATTAAAATTTAGAGTTTTTAGTTTTTAGTTTTTTTTTTCTCTCTCTCTAAACAAAATTGATAAATTGGAAAGTAGAAAATATATTATATAAAAATGTGTATATATATTATATTATAAAAGTTTTTAAATATCTTTAATAATTCCATTTCATAGTATTGATAAAATTTAGTGCGTCTATATCTTACATTAAGACTTTTCCATGTATAAATAAATTAATAAAAAAATGGTAACAGCAATTTAAAAATATGAAAATACCAACTGTTGGAAAATATTCGAAGATATTGCAATCTTTCGCTATGAATAGTTAGCGATATTAATAAACAGTAAGATATGTCACAATAAAGATCTAACATGATTAAATTTGCTTATATACTCCTAAAATTTGTTATTCGTTCAATTTCTAATGAGCCTGGAATTGTACTTGGTTAATCGATCGCGGTAGCTTAATTACACGTCGCCGATCAAGCAGAAAGTGTAAAAAAAGTAAAAAAAAAGAATTGTCGAGGACGGTTACGGGTTGTTGAACCGGTGTTGGCACGCAAGTCAGGTGTATCTCGATACATACATACGCGACCAGACAACATTCTTTCGAAAACGAGCGCATAAGTAAAAGGGCCTCGGATCGAAAAAGAAGGGACGATCCGGAATGCACTTCTGGATTGTCTGCAAATCAGAAGCGTAAGGAATCGTTCCGCTTCGTTAATCACTCGCCGCGAAAATGTTTCAAATGGCTTTCTTCGAGTTCAGGGAGAACCGTCGAGATCTTATCTCCATTTAGCACGTTAAATGCAATCATATAATTGTATTTTATATATATATATATATAATTTTAAGGATGTATAGTAAAAGATATGCAATCGGATTATAAGAGAGAACTACAAGAGAAAATTAACTTATCAATTCTCTCTTCTTGAGAATTTTTATGATATTTTCACAATTTTTACTGATATAAATTATTATATAACTAAGGACTTTTTTCTTTCTTTATTTTGTGAATATTTCAAAATTAATAATAGAATTCATAAAACTCTGCATTTTCAAACTTAATTGATCGAAAACTATATTACTCGATGCACTAAAAAATTGAAACAACTCTTTTGAGAAAAACATACGGATGTTAGTGTGTAAGTTTCAAGCAAATTATTTTTCTTTGAAACTAATAATAAGTGATCGTACACAGGATACAAATTTTACTTGGTGCGATACTCTTAATGCTTAAATATAATCCCTTGTTTGAGATTTATTTTAAATATCCCTCGCGCATATCCTTTTAAAAAAGCGTAGGACTAGAAAAATATCGGGGCAAAGTCGTTGAATCGCGAATTTAACCCGTGTCTTTCGCTTGCCGAACGACTACTCTTATCAGTAAGCTATTCAGACTCCACGTAAATATCGATAAATTAACTCATATTCACATGATGTTATCCAATTCATTTTTTCCGTTTTTATTTCATCTTTCCTTATTCTTCAACTTTCTCCGACTGTTGTTCTTACACATCTCGCTTTCTTTCTTCCCTCCCATGTTCTCCATATATCTTCCCATTCTCTTTTATCTCTCATCTCCTTTTCGCTCCTCTTTCCTGCTTTCGTATCTACCCTCTTCTTCTGTTCCTTCATCCTCGTCCCACTCCCTTTTCTGATTCTCCATCTCTCTTCCGTCATTCCACTGCCCTTCCTCGTTCCTCCATTCTCTCCTTTGTCTTTCTCGCCGCCTCTCTTTCTGCCTCTCTCTGACCCCTCTCTCCCTTTGCCATCTTCTCATTTCATTGAGAACGTCTGGTATGCGGGGCTTTTTATACAGGAATGGAGTCTCCGCCGCCGCTGCTCGGCCTAATGGCCGGCAAGGAGCAACCCGGGCGGCTACCCGTAAGGACTTTCGTGAGCGCAAGGGGCCATGCCGGGATGTGTGTGTATGGCCTTCAACTTGCAACCAAGAGCGCATGCACAATCCTGGGCCCACTATCGAGAAGGAAACGAATGAAACGTTCCCACAGAGATGTTGTCAAGGCTCATCTTTTTGATTCATTGATATCGGATCTTTGTTAACTTGGCATCCCCACGAGGAATAAAATTCGGATGTATGAGATATAACTAAGTGATATTTTATTCCTAACTTGTTTCTTTAATCCTCAAACATTTCTTGAAATAAAAAGTCTCAAATATTTGTATTATTTAATTTTCTGAAAATTTTATAGCCCCATAATTATTGATTATAAATATTTTATCAAATATTTCAAGTATATTTTAAAATAAGATCTTTAAAATGGTTTATATACATTATCTTACATAATAGCAAAGTAAATCTTTACGATAAGCGGTGATAATTTTAAATAATAAATTAATAAAATTATAAATTGCTCTTTTTACGATTGCTCTGCTGTTACCTCCCCGAACTTCTTCCTGCTCCCTTGTTTATCCTTTATTAATCCTTTATGACACTTACACAACATTTACTTGCGAAAACACGATTAATTAAGATCTCATGCGCACTAATTATTAGACTCACACATTATCATGAATTTTGCGATAGATTTCACGCGAATAATAACAAAGCAAGTGTGTATAAACAATAATATGCTGTACATGAGGGGCAAACACTATGTAAATTATTTGTTTCAGCTACGAAATATTTGATGTATTAGAAATTAATATATGTAGAGAGCTTTTATTTCTTGAATTTTAAATTAGTTATTAACAAACGGTAATGTATCATGTCCCACTTTTCTTTACTTTAAAGTGAATCGTCAATCGCGAAAGCAATTAATCACGCAGCTAATCATTTTCAAGTATTCGTAATGCTAGCGCCAGACTATGTGCGAATTCGCGGTTCGTTTATAATTCGTGTCGATAGAAGATTCAAATTCGATTAATCAGATTTTTTAATACCATTCACAAATCGCGAATACGCGTATAATCTGGCGTTAACATAAAGAATAATCGCGTTTGGTATCTCTTAATTCTTATCGCAACTGTGCTTCGAAAAATAATACGACAACACACAGAGTATGCGATAGTTTATACTCGTTCGAATCTCACCGCATGAATGACAACAAGACTACCGCACGTAAACAACATGCTCAACACATACATCGTACAGCGTATTATTGTTTATACGCTGTCGCGTTGTTATTACATTTGCTCTCTTGTACTCTTCTATTCTCGTGAAATTTATCGCAAAATCTATCGCACAAGTCTGATAGTGTGCACGCCGTAGATACGTAATAAATTTTTGCGAGTATCGTAAGAGTGCTATAACGGATCAAAAAACAAACGTAAAGAAAAAAGAGAGATGGCTCGGGAAGACGTCAATTCGTAAGATGAATAATTTTTACAGTTTTGTTATATATAATCTATTTTATTTGTTATTTAATATTAATCATTCGTTTATCATTATGGTAACGATTCACTTTGCATCATTAGGTAATATGATGCATATAAACTATTCTAAATCTTATTGGACTTCTAAATCTTATTATCAACAATCGGATCGTTGCATTAAATTCTTCAATTTAACTATAATTTATAGTTAATTAAGATTATTCTTGAATAGCTCAGAAGAATCACTCACTCGCTTTTCTTCCTAGCAATTTACGCATTATCGATCTCTCGCGAGCGAATACTAAAAGGTAAAAGACATGAAGAAAGATGCCGATGCGCCGTGCAGGATTTTCGCACGAGGATTCCGCAACGCGACGCGTCACGTAATGCCGATTGCACGTGCACCACGGTTGCAAATCATGGTCCACGTGTAAAATGCACCGCGCTGCGCGGTGCGTTTCTAATTACGGCAGATATTTTTCACGTCTCTCACAATGAAGGAGGGGGG